GATTGCAGCATGGTGTCGCGCATCGTTCCTAGAAGAGGAGCAGGAATAGAATGTCTAGAGTAATCGCGAGAGCTTTTCTGCAGTCAGGTAGCATCTTTCCGAAACGCATGGTTCATATCCACGTTTCCACATGTGTGCCCAGGTTTTTGGGATCTAGCGATGCGCGGTTGCATCGTGGCTCATGCATGTCAGCAATCATAGCACATACATGTTGTCACACCTGCGCGCGAAGGCACGGGTGCTCTCTTCGAAGTTGGATCGAGTCAGCGATAGCATCGGTCATCAACGTGCAGCGTCAGTCTTCTTTGGCACCCAGGTGATTCATGACATTAGCCGACGCGTTAAATGTGCTCCCCTTCTCTGCTGCGGCGCGTTTCGGCGCGGCCAATGCCGGGGCGCGCCGGCGGGCGCCTCCCCAGCTAAGCTTTGACAGCGGGCAGAAGAACAGCTGCGACGGCATCGCTGGACGCGCGCGCTCTCGCGACGCTTCCGCGCATTACTTCCCTGGGCTTGCGTATCCGGCGTTCGCAACTCGAGACAAGCCAAACCGTGTTGCGCGAGAGAATCTCCGCCGGGTCACGTTTAGGAACGCACTGGTGGAGGACTGCAGGCATCTGGCGCGCGCGCGGGCGGACCTTGGCGCCAGTGCCTCTGCCATTTTGGAAAATATTCCTCGAGGGCCCCGCCCGCCGCCAGCGCGCGCTAGATCTTGCGCGCAGGAGCGCTGCGAAGCGGCGGCGCGCATTCGACGACCAACGCTTTCCCGCGCGTTAGGGGGATCTCGTGCCAGCGCAGCCCGACCACATAGCGCGTGCATATATCAATTACAAAGGTGAGTGTCTGTCCCGCGCGGGCGGCAGCCTCGCGCGCAAGGAGGAGCGCGCGCGTGCGAGAAATCGCGCCTGCATAGTATGCCGCCCAACAGCGTGCCCTGGGAAATGTCGCTCGTGCGATTCGCTTAGCACATCATATACTGCATGGGCACTGTGGAAACCGAATGAGCTGCCGAGTGTTATTCGGGCCCATTCTACCCGGGCCCAGCTGAAAGTCGAACCGCGCTGGCCAACGAAATGTCGACGTCGTGTGCAAAACATTAATTTCTTCAGTTTTTGCGCAGCAGACGTCTCCAAGTTTTTCGCGGGCGCTCGTCTCGCCCGTGGCGCATGGTGCGTGCGAGACCTCGCTGGGGGGCTCACGGCGCAACGCGCGCGCGGGAGTGGCCGGGCACGGGGGCAAGCAATCGACATGACGTTTATACAGACCAGGTGACATGATGCATGCGCGTCAAATTCTCATCAGATTAGCCGCATATTTAACGCGCTACGCCACGTTAAGAGCAACTGTTTTTCTGCAGCCGGAGAGGAGGTATTCAAATGCAAGCGAGGGTGGGCCATGGGCGCCAGCCTGTCAGAGCCCGCGACGTTGGCTGATTTAGGAGACTGCCTGCGCCGACTGGATTTCCCAGCGCCCCGGCCTCTCAGGTTTTGCAGGGGGTCTTACGCGTGGACGACAGCATTTGGACAGTGCTTGTTTCGATCCCTGCGCGGGCTTCTTCCCATCGGACGTTGGATTAACGGCCCTTCCAGTTCGCTTCCCTCAGCGTGACATCGCCGAGTCGCCCCATGGGCTTGCGTGCCGCGCATTCTCTGCTAATTGCGAGTCTGCAACTAGACAGAACCCACGACGTAAGTTTGCGAACTTTCCCAGCTACTCCTCGGCCCCTGCCAAACGCACCCCATTCTGTCCAATGGCGCGCGCGCGGGAGATAGCCATCCTTTTCAATGCTACGGGGGAAGGGGCGCCCGAGCGAGCTCGCCGGGCCGCCGTTGACATCGCGCGTGGAACTTTTTATTTTGGGATGGCCTGCCAGGGGCGTTGGCCTTGCTCTCCGATCCACCCCGAGACGCCGCGCTTCGTCGCGCCTCGCGTTGGCCCGGGGACTCGGCGGGCTGCTCGCGAGAAGCGCTCCAGAGCTGGATCTGACGGATCTGGGTTCCGAGGTCCAGAGAGCTGGTTCTAGCGAAGCGTTGTCCTCCAACCTCGACCTCCCCCGTTCCGGAGCAGCCTCGGCGCGAGCCAGTCGGGGCTCAAGAGACGGGGGTCAATGCAAACAGGGGTCAGCCAGGGCACCTGTCCTGCAGGATCCTGCGAAGACCCCCTCTGGCTGACCCGGGTTAGCGAGCCGCTCGCGGCCGCGAGGCGGCCGCGCATATTGGCTGACCCGGCCTTGCGAAGACCTGCGTTGCAGTTTTTTCCCTGCGTTGCAGTTTTTGTTGGTTTCGTGCTGACCCGGGTTTGGATTGACCTGGGTCAGAAGATCCCCAGGCCAGCTAGCGCGACCTCGCGGGCATGTCCACCTCGGCGCAGCAGAACCCTTCCATGTCGCGAACGCAGATCAGCCCTGCCCTATCTCAGAGAAGCGCAGCTCCCAAGATCGAGTGCCATGGGGTTGCGTGCCGAGACATATCGAGGTAGCTCGCCGCGCGGCCGGAGCGAAAACCAGGGCTGCTACGCCGGCGCGAGCCAGCGCCGCTAGCGCCCCGAAGGCGGCGCCCAGCGCGATGCGCACATCCACGGTGTACTCGACAGCGCTCGCGAGATGACCGCGATGTTCAAGGGGGAGGAGGCCGGGCGCGCAGCCCGCGCGGAGAGGAAGGCCTGCGCTTGCCATATCAGGGAGAACGCGGCCTCGGCGGCGGGAGAACTCCTCGGCTTTGCCACCCCGAAGAAACATGCGTAGAAGAACAAGGAGTGCAAAAGGGTATTGGCAGCCAATTTATCTTCGTAGAAAACGGCTGGTGGTCGCGCCCTGCGGCGATGTGATAGCTCGAGTTCCGCGGCGTGGTCGACAGGGGGCAGCAGTTCAGCAAGCAGCGCAGCGCATGGACATGCGTTCAAATCCGTGGCCCAGATGACGCAGAGCAAGCGCGAGCAATATGATTGCACGATCGACCCGAAGATGTCGAAGGCGCTCATGCGCCAGATGAAGAGCTCCAGCAAGAGCAAACATTTAGACCAAGGTGATTGACGATGACGACGATGAGCTCCAAAGGGCTCTCAGGGAGCTCGACTGCAAGCTCGAGCAGCAGGACGTGGCGGCCCTCGCCCAGAGCCCGGCGGCGGCTGGCAGCGGAGCCAATGGGTCCGAGCTCGACATGTTGGCGCGTGCGATCGGCGGCAAGATGGACTTGGCCCGGACTGGCGCGGCGATGCGTGAGCTTGCTGCGCCAGGGGCTGGCGGCCTAGGGGATGGCCCCGACGCTGCCCCCTTAGGCGTTGCCCCTGCGATGAAGAAACTCGCCGGGATTTGGCGCCCAATCGTGACATTGGCGAGTTCCCTTCAGTGCGCGATGCATGGCTGGTTGAATATGGCAAGATTCATGGCGCCACCCAGACCGTCCTAAATGGGCGGCTCAGGGCATTTCGTCTTTCGACAGCTACGAGGGAAAAACAAACAAGACCGAGAAACTCAACCAGATGCTGAACCCCATCGAGGGCAAATCGCAGCTGAGAGGTAAAAGCAGCTCGTGAAGGACGCACTTATACAGGCCCTTCTGCGCCGAGAACGTTCCTGGAACACGCCGCGGGAACGTTCAGAGAAGTTCCTTGTCTGCTTGGACCCGTGCAAGGGGTCCTTCAGCAAGGCCCTGAGATCATGCCTCGACGCATATCCTGGGCTCAGCCTTGCAGGTTGGTCCGGCTGGGCGCCCCGCCTGATATTCTTTAAACGCTTGCCAATTTGAGAATTTGGAAGTTGTAGCAGTTGCGAGGATCGAGGGGGGGAAACGGGGCTTCCGTCTTGGCGCCGCCCACATTCGCTTTCAAAGCTTACAACAGTTTCAAGTATGGAGAGGGGGGGCCGTTTTCAAAGTCAAGTTCTCGCTTTGACGCTGCGCGCAGTGGGTTTACAAGCGTGCAGCAGTCACATGGCTGCAGCTTACTTTTCTTATGGGAACACAGAATGGGACTGTCGTCTCAGCGCCGCGCACATTCGTTTTTCATGTTTGCAACATATACAGGAACGGAAGACGGCTCCTTTTTTCAACCTGGGGCTATCGTTTGAGATTTCCATGCGTAAGAGAGCCAGAAGTTCGAACATATTATACCAGCTGCGCGCACGGAGGGCGTTTCCGAGGGCCGTTTAAGAACGGGGATGTCGGTGGACACTTCGCTGAACCGTATGACCCTCTTTGCCCGCGGTCCTCACTTGTTGCTGGAAGGATGCAACGTTTTCTCTCCGAACAGTGGCTCTCATTTAAAAGGCTGGCCCATCGGTTTCTGGCCTTTGCATGGGAAACAGAGTTTGCAACAATGACTTTCGACAGGGATGCTTGGAACGGGAGGATGTATTGCTGCGTCGTCGGTGCATCTTGGGTCTCTGGTCCTTCTCATCCTGTTCCCTTCTTGGGGATGAGAGGAAACGAAACCACAGACAACCCTGGGTACGTGGACTCCTCTTGTTGCTTCCATTCCTTTGGGTGCCTCCGTATTTTTGTTGGCTCGATTGGCTTCGGTGGAAGATGAGGATGAATATGAAGAGGCTGTCTAGGAAATCGAATCGGAAAGGGGGGGTCGCGGGGCATGAACTTTGGCAGTTTAGGTTGACTGAGCTGGGGCAGGCGATTGAGGCGAGTTGAGGGGCGAAGCCACAGGAAAAGGAGAGGAGATGCCTGTCCCTCCCTCCGCCTCGCCTTTGCCTTCGCCTTTGCCCTCGCCTGTTTTTTTGTTGTCTGGCGGTTCCTCGTCCTTTTGCTCCTCCTGTTCCTCCTCTTCCTCCTCCTCCTTCTCCTCCTCCTCTACCTCATCCTACTCATCGTCCTCCCCCTCCTCCTCCTCCTTCCCGTCCACTCCCCCCCCCCAAGCTGCCCGCAGCCCTCCTTTCCCACCTTCCACCCGCCATTCCCGCATCGAGCCCCATCATTCTTCGTATCTCGGACCTTCTCAGGCACTCCCCGCTCCTCCGCATTTCCAATTTGCTCGCGCCAAACCCAGAAGCGCAGGCGCGCCCGCGGGCGGCGTCTCGGCGCCGCTGAAGGCCGTCTGCCCATCCGCTGCTGCAGACGGGAGCCGCGGGTGAGGGCGAAGAGGGGTCGGGGGACCGCTTCCAGCCGGCGAGGAGGGACTTCGAGGAGGCTCGAAGATAGAGTTTTGTTTGATGCCTTTCTCCTTTCTGAGGCTCCATTGGGTCGCCTCGTAACCTCGGTTGGATCCGCTTTACAATCGTGGCCAGAAGGCGCCCCGGGACAGGCCAAGGGCCTGGGGGCCCTGAGGACGGTCGCCCGCGTGTGGGGGGGCAGGAAAAGAGAATCGAGGGTGGGGAGGAGACGGGAGGGGAGACGATAGAGGGATGGATGGGGAATCTCCTCCTCTTCCTCGTCCTGACGCTGCTGGCGCTGATCCGATGAGGGATGTTGCCCTCCTCCTCCTCCCTCCTCCTCCTCCTCCTTCCTCCTCCTCCTCCTCCTTAAACATCTCAGGCTGGCTCCAGGGATAGCGGCTGTTATTATGGGAGTGCCCGCAGATCCAGACGCAACGAAATTCATGCGACGGGCTTGTTCGGCTGCCCCGGTGCCGGCCTCATGGCCCTCACGGATCGGTCCCGCGTGAGAGTTGGGCACGGAGATTGGGCTGGGAGCTCCATCCGCGCATTCTCGATACGTAGCATGTTGGACCTTGAGGGAGTGAGGGGAGGGGAGAGGAGGGAAGAGGAGGAAAGAGGAGGGGAGAGGAGGGGAGAGGAGGAGAGAGGGAGGGCCGCGATCGGCAGGGGGGAAGTAAGTGATGGGGTGAGGAGGGGAGAGGAGGGGAGAGGGGGGGCAGGCAAAGATGGAGGGACGTTTACTTAGCGTGGTGCGCCGCCGGTTCTGGGCCACCACGCTTCTGCACGACATGCTAAGCACGGCCCAGTCCCCAAGCGTCGAGTTTCCACGCTTTTGCCTTCCGACCTACGAAGCAGGGCTGCATGTCATCAGCTTGCATGGCATGGCGTGTCGCAGGGGCCGCCGCCGCGTCACGGTAAGCAGCATTTCCTCACCGTAACTTCTTGCTTTTCCCCAGGCTGGCGTCTTGGCCCTCGCGGCCGCCAGCAGCCGATCGCCAAGGACACTTGCAGCGCAGGCAGGGTGCGGCGACCCCCGACTCGTTCGCCCTGTGCGATGGCGTCTCCGACGCCTGTGGGACGTCACAGGCGATTGGACGACTGGTGATTGGCCAGCACCTTTGACGACTCGGGATCGCCTGTCCGCAGCGTACGGGTCGGACACGTGTTTTCTTTTCGAATAGAGTTTGTGACGCCTGTGATAACTTCCGCCCATGCCGCTAGATGTCGAGGTGGTCTTGTGCGGCTCTCGCTCCTGCGAGAGCGCGGCGACGAACCGGCCTCCCTCGCACGTCGTTCTGGAAGGCCGCCGCAGCGCCGTGTTGCCGCCGATGTCCGCGCAGCTCGCACCACTCCCGACCAGCGGCCTGAGCCGGACGACCGTCGCATCTGCGCGCTCTCCGTCAGTGTCAGTACCGTGCGGTGATGTTGGAAGCAGCTCAGAATTGTGAACTCACCATGACGTATTCTGGCTTGACGCCCGTGCGCCGGGGAAGAACTCCGCAATCCTGGCTTGCTCACGCTCCTTAGGCAAGCGCCGCCAATACTCCGCCTGGCGCGCGACGAGCTCCACCACAGTGGTGCAGGCCCCAGTCTCCAGGTCAGGAGGTAAAGGGAGCGTAGAAATAGAGGCATCCTTATCGCCTTGGAGCACAGGCTCCCGAGAGCGCCGTGCGCGTTCACGCGATGGTAGCCTCAGTCGATGAGCGCTTCCTCACGAACACCGCCGTGGGGGTGCACCAGCAGCGCTGTGCCGCGCAGCGGGCCCCAGTGTCGAGGGAAGGAGAAGTGACACCACCAGCATCACCATCACCACCACCACCACCACCATCTCCACCACCACCACTACCACCATCACAACCATTATCACCACCACCAACACCACCACCACCACCACCACCACCACCACCACCACCACCACCACCACCGCCAGGGGGGCCACCTCTAGCGATGAGGCCCACGATGCCTCCCCGAGCCGAGGGAGTAGGGGATGTTTCGAGCGAGAGTTGGGGACCACCACCACCAGGGGCCCCCCCCCCCTGGCTCCTCCCGCTGGTGGTTCCTGGCGGTGACGGTGTCGCTCTTCCTTGTTCCTACAGTGCGACCCGCTCCACGGTGTGCGAATGGGATTTGCGGGAGACTTCTGCAGTGCCGAGCCCGCGATATTGGCGGCTGACGACGTCCAGGCCCCCGAGCTGCCCGAGCGGCGGCCGAGTGAGCCTTCGGCCAGGGCCTGGCCGTTCGGCGATGGTGGTGGTCACTGTGGGATCAACTTCTGAAGCGCCAGATCTCCTCCGCCTGCTATCCTTACGGCGGGGGCGTTCGTGGAGGAATGTGCCCAGGAGGCTTCAGACCCTGGAGGTTTGCGGTCCTGGAAGAGCCTCCTGGGTCCTGGAAGAGCCTCCTGGGACCCCGGCGGGACGGGCCGAAGCCCCAGGGGGAGTTCCTTTGGAAAAAGAGCCAAAACCAAAACCGAAATAATCTAGCACGCCAGGCACCCCTGCGATGAATCGACAGGGCGGCGGATCGAAGACGCCTACGGCGAATCACCGCCGCCCCCTGCCTTTTTGGAAGCGCCTATGTGGCCGAACGTTGAGGCCAGACCTGCCAAGCCATCGGACCATGTGTTCCCCGAATCGGTTTAGAAAGCCTTCGGAGAACACGTGGGCATCTTGAAGGTCATCTTGGCCGCCTGGAGGCCATTTTGACCCTTTCGGGCCTTCTTGGAGGACGTCTTGGAGGGCTCTTGGGCCGTCTTGGAGGCCATATTGAGCGTCTTGGAGGCCTCTTGGGCCATCTTGGGGGCCTCTTGGGGCCGTCTTGGGCCTCTTGGGCGATCTTTGGGGGCACTTGGGCCGTCTTGGGCCGTCGGAAGGCCGAACACATGCAAATGCCACACTCCTTCACACACTCATGGGAAGTCAATGGTGTTGGCCTTTTCGGGCCTTCCTGGAGGCCCTCTTGGAGGCCTCTTCGTCCGTCGTGGGCCAGCTTAGTGCCATCTTCGGCCGTCTTGGTGGGCCCCTGGCCCGTCCGACGCCGTCGGAAGCCGTTTTGGGGGGGGCCTCTCTGAGCCGACTTGGGGTCCTCTTGGAATGCTCCATGGCCGTCTTGGAGGTCATCTTGGGCGTCTTAAAAGACTCCTGGGCCGTCTTGGGGGCCTCTTGGGTCCTTCTGGGGCCATCTTGGAGGCCTCTTGGGCAATCTTTGGGCGATCTTTGGGGGCTCTTGGCCCGCATCGGGCCGTCGGAAGGCCGAAACGAAGCAAATGTCAAAATACTTCAAACACCGACGTGAAATAAGTGTTTTTGGCATTTTCTGGCCTTCCTGGAGGCCCTCTTGGAGGCCTCTTGGGCCGTCTTGGGCCAGCTTCGAGCCCACTTCGGCTATCTTGGTGGGCTCCTGGCCCGCCTGACGCCGTCGGAAGCGGTTTGGGGGGTCTTTCTGGGCCGATTTGGGGCCCTCTTGGGGTGCTCCTGGGCCGTCTTGGAGGCCATCTTGGGCGTATTGGAGGCCTCTTGGGTCGTCTTTCTGCCCTCTTGGGGCCGTCTCGGGGGCCTCTTGGGCAGTCCTGAAACAATCTTGCAGGCCTCTTGGGCGCTGTGGGGGCGATCCTGGGGGGCCTCTTGGGCCGTCTTGGGTCGTCGGAAAGCCGAGAAGAAGCGAATGCCTAAATCCTTCAAACACCTAAGGAAAATCAAGTATGTTGGCCTCTTCGGGCCCTCCTGGAGGACCTCTTGGAGGCCTTTAGGGCCGTCTTGGAGGCCTCTTCAGCCGTCTTGGGCCGTCTTGGACTCTTGGGCCGTCTTGGAGGCCGTCTTGGACCATCTTGGGCGAACTGTCTTGGAGGCCATCTTGGGCCAACATGGCCATCATGGACGCCATCTTGAGCCCTCTCGGAGATTGTTTTCCGGACGTTGAGGTCGTTTGCGGTCCTGGAAGAGCCTCCTGGGACCCCGGCGGGACGGGCCGAAGCCCCAGGGGGAGTTCCTTTGGAAAAAAAACCAAAACCAAAACCGAAATAATCTAGCACGCCAGGCACCCCTGCGATGAATCGACAGGGCGGCGGATCGAAGACGCCTACGGCGAATCACCACTGCCCCCTGCCTTTTTGGAAGCGCCTATGTGGCCGAACGTTGAGGCCAGGCCTGCCAAGCTATCGGACCATGTGTTCCCCGAATCGGTTTGGAAAGCCTTCGGAGAACACGTGGGCATCTTGAAGGTCATCTTGGCCGCCTGGAGGCCATTTTGACCCTTTCGGGCCTTCTTGGAGGACGTCTTGGAGGGCTCTTGGGCCGTCTTGGAGGCCATATTGAGCGTCTTGGAGGCCTCTTGGGCCATCTTGGGGGCCTCTTGGGGCCGTCTTGGGCCTCTTGGGCGATCTTTGGGGGCACTTGGGCCGTCTTGGGCCGTCGGAAGGCCGAACACATGCAAATGCCACACTCCTTCAAACACTCATGGGAAGTCAATGGTGTTGGCCTTTTCGGGCCTTCCTGGAGGCCCTCTTGGAGGCCTCTTCGGCCGTCGTGGGCCAGCTTAGTGCCATCTTCGGCCGTCTTGGTGGGCCCCTGGCCCGTCCGACGCCGTCGGAAGCCGTTTGGGGGGCCTCTCTGAGCCGACTTGGGGCCCTCTTGGGGTGCTCCAGGTCCGTCTTGGAGGCCATCTTGGGCGTATTGAAGGCCTCCTGGGCCGTCTTGGGGGCCTCTTGGGTCCTTCTGGGGCCATCTTGGAGGCCTCTTGGGCAATCTTTGGGCGATCTTTGGGGGCTCTTGGGCCGTACTGGGCCGTCGGAAAGCCGAAATGAAGCAAATGTCAACTTCCTTCAAAACCAAAGGAACATGCCTTCCTGGAGGCCCTCTTGGAGGCCTCTTGGGCCATCTTGGGCTAGCTTCGAGCCAACTTCGGCCATCTTGGTGGGCTCCTGGCCCGTCTGACGCCGTCGGAAGCGGTTTGGGGGGTCTTTCTGGGCCGACTTGGGGCCCTCTTGGGGTGCTTCAGGGTTGTTTTGGAGGGCATATTGGGTGTCTTTGAGGCTCTTGGGTCGTCTTCGTGTTCTCTTGGGGCCGTCTCGGGGGCCTCTTGGGCAGTCCTGAGGCCATCTTGGGGGCCTCTTGGGCGCTGTGGGGGCGATCCTGGGGGGCCTCTTGGGCCGTCTTGGGTCGTCGGAAAGCAGAGAAGAAGCGAATGCCAACATTCTTCAAACACCTAAGGAAAATCAATGATGTTGGCCTCTTCGGGCCCTCCTGGAGGACCTCTTGGAGGCCTCTTGGGCCGTCTGGGAGGCCTCTGGGGGGGCTCTTGGACCGTCTTCGGCCGTCTTTGATTCTCTTGGGCCGTATGGGAGGTCGTCTTGGACGACCTTGGGCGGACTTGGAGGCCATCTTGGACCATCTTGGAGGCCATCTTGGGCCAACGTGGCCATCTTGGCGCCATCTTGGGCCATCTTGAACGGAACATTGGGAAAATTGGGGGACTTCCGGGTGGCTGGCGGGACGGGCCGAAGCCCCAGGGGGGAATCTTTCGGAAAAAGAACAAATCCAAAACCGAGATTATCTGGCACGCCAGGCACCCCTGCGATGAATCCACAGGGGGCGGCGGATCGAAGACGCCTACGGCGAATCGCCGCCGCCCCCTGCCTTTTTGGAAGCGCCTATGTGGCCGAACGTTGAGGCCAGACCTGCCAAGCCATCGGACCATGTGTTCCCCGAATCGGTTTGGAAAGCCTTCGGGGAACACGTGGGCATCTTGAAGGTCATCTTGGCCGTCTTGGAGGCCTCTTGGGCGATCTTTGGGCGATCTTTGGGGGCTCTTGGGCCGTCTCGGGCCGTCGGAAGGCCGAAACGAAGCAAATGTCAAAATCCGTCAACAACCTCAGGAACATCAATGTTTTTGGCCTCTTCTGGCCTTCCTGGAGGCCCTCTTGGGGGCCTCTTGGGCCATCTTGGGCCAGCTTCGTGCCAACTTCGGCCATCTTGGTGGGTTCCTGGGACGTCTGACGCCGTCGGGAGCCGTCTTGGGGGCCTTTCGGGGCCAACGGGGGACCCTCTTGGGGCGCTTCGGGGCCGTCTTGGAGGCCATCTTGGGCGTATTGGAGGCCATCTTGGGCGTGTTGGAGGCCTTTGGGCCGTCTTGGGGCCCTCTTGGGGCCATCTTGGAGGCCACTTGGGCCGTCATGGGGCCCTCTTGGGGGCCTCTTGGGCGATCTTGGGGGCCTCTTGGGCCGTCTTGGGTCGTCGGAAAGCCGAGAAGAAGCGAATGCCAAAATTCTTCAAACACCTAAGGAAAATCAATGATGGAGGCCTCTTGGGCCGTCTGGGAGGCCTCTGGGGGGCCTCTTGGGCCGTCTTGGGCCGTCTTGGAGGCCGTCTTGGACCATCTTGGGCGGACTTGGAGGCCATCTTGGACCATCTTGGAGGCCATCTTGGGCCATCTTGGCCATCTTGGACGCCATCTTGAGCCGTCTTAGGGGATTTGTTCGGGACTTCGCGGTCCTGGAAGAGCTTTCCGGTACCCCGGCGAGACGGGCCGAAACCCACTGGGAGAGTTCTTTCGGAAAAAGAACAAAAACCGATAGGGCCTGGCACGCCAGGCACCCCTGCGATGAATCGACAGGGGGCGGCGGATCCAAAGGCCTTCGGCCCATCCCGCCACCGTGCCAGGGTTGTGGGTTAGAGTTCTCAGGGGTGTTTTTTTCGGGTCTCTTCGGAGCGCTCTGGGGGGCCTCCTCTTGGGAGCAGTGTGGGGGCCTCTTGGGGGCCTCTTGGGGGCCTCTTGGGGCCTCTTGGGGGCCTCTTGGGGGCCTCTTCGGGACTTATTGGGGGCCTCTTGCAGGCCTCTTGGGGCCCCCTGGGGGCTTCTTAGGGCCGAGGACTCGGAATGTCCGCTCGGGTATCTCATCTGGGCCCCCTCTTGGGGCCGTCTCTGGGCCCTCTTGGGCTGTCTTGGACCGTCTTGGGCGCCTCTTGCGTCGTCTTGGGGCCCTCTTGTGCCTTCTCGGGGCCCTCTTGGGGGCCTCTGGGGCCTTCTTGGGGTGATTTTGGGGGCCTCGCGGGCCGTCTTGGAGCGTCGGGAAGCCGAAAAGGCGAGAACGTCCCAAATCCTTCAAAAACCACCGAGAAGTCAGGCGTCTTCGAGGCCTCTTTGCGTGTCATATCGCTTCCTAGCCTGATAATGTCTCACAAGGCTATGATTTGTTGCGCTCCGCAGCCCCTCGCGAGGCTCGAGAAAATAGGTTTCGGTTGTGAGATCAGATACATCCCGCAGATACCGCCGCCCATTTTGGGCTCTCGGATGGTAGCAGAGCGCTACGGCGCTACACGATCCACGGCAGTTACATCAACGTCAGCGAGGTCTGGCGAGAACGAGGGCTTCGAGCTGATCAGCATCAGCAGCAGCGGAGAGAGAGAGAGAGAGAGAGAGAGAGACTACCAGTGCGACTGGAAGAGGATCACGGTTCAGCTGATTTCGCTCGGCAGGATCAGAGGGTACTGGTCGGAGCTCGGCAGGTGGCTGTGCGCTATCAAGCAGCAGGGCCAGCTCGCGATTCAGGATATCGAGGATGGCAACGCCAGAGGAGATCGTCAGAAGGCTCGAGGCGCTCGAGCAGGCGAATGTAGAGCTGGTCCAGGAGGCTCGACGACAACGGGATCGAGCGGATCAACTACAAGAGGCAGCCGCGCGCGCCGCTGATGGCGGCGCGGCGGCAAGGGCTGCGGCACGAGCGGCCACGGCGGCGACGGTGGAGCTCGACGCGACGCCGTTCGACACGAAGATCACGAAGAATCCCGATAGGTTCGATGGCAAGCAGGAGTCCTGGTCAGACTTGTGTTTCTTGTTTCGCAGCTACGTTGAATCCCAAGACGAGCGCACCATCGAGCTGATGGACAGGAATACGGCCATGGACGAAGAAGTGGTCATGGGCAGATCGTTCAATGACGAGAAAGCTGGAGATGAGAAGCGCTCGAGGATGCTGTTCCACTTGCTGACGGTGAGTATGACGATGACGTCTCGTGGCTTCAAGCTGATCAGGAACACGAAGAGTTCCAACGGTTTCGAGGCCTGGAGGCAGTTGATCATGGAGTTCGAAGCCAGGGTCAGAGGACGACAGGGTGCGCTGCTCAACCAGTTGCTGAACACGACGTTCAAGGCTGGAGTCGGACACAGAGACGCCATCGAGACGTGGGAGCGTGAGGTCACTGAGTATGAGGAGCAGGCCGAGGATATCTTGCCAGAGTCTATCAAGGCGAACGTGCGGGTCCAAGGGCAGGAAGATGAAGTTCTGAAGTCTCACCTGGCGCTGGTTGAACTCGAACAGGCTCATGAGGTATAAGGACATCAGAAAAGGAGATCATGGACTACATCGTGAATCAGCGTGTTTGGCATCGAGACGACGATCAGGTGATGCCCGTGGACGTGGATGCAGTTCGCAGCTGGCACGGCAAAGGCGGTGAAGACTCCAAAGGCAATGGCAAGAGTACCACAGGTAAAGTCAAAGGTGACAAAAGCAAAGCGGGAGGTAAAGGCAAGGACGGCAAAAGAAAGTCCAAGGCTGCGAAGAACGACAGTGGTGCGACTGGTGTAAGATGGCAGGACACGTGACGGAGACGCGCAGGAGAAAGAGACGCTATGATCAGAGGCAGGCGAGCCAGAACAGCAATGCCAATGCAGTCGTTCCTCAGCAGCAACCAGTCAAACCTGGGTGCGCGACGTCCACCGTCGGCCCAAATGACTCGGCATCACTCGTGAACACGATTCCCATTAGCACGTCGGCGCAACATCACCTGGACATGGCGAGGACACTGGCGCGATCGACAGTCCGCCCATCATCGGCGGTCTCCGGATCGGCGGTGGCACTTCGACAGGTGAGAGGCACGCCGACCACCATTCAAGAGGAGCGCGCGTACCCGTGGCCTGACACGGACGACGAGGGGCCCATCTACGTGAGCATGTTGGCGGCCGCAGGTGCGAGCAGCTTCGAAGACGACGACGCGGACTACCTGATGATCGACAGCGGCGCAGGCATCGCTATTCGTTCGATGGAGTTCGCAGAGGCAGAACCGCAGGGCAGTAGCAACTGGATTGCGCCGAAGAACTTGCCACCGCTTGAGGCCGCGACAGGGCAGTCGATCATCCGCAATGGCGCGTGTGAGGTCAACTTCGCGGCGACGGCGCTCGACCAGCAGCGGGATATCTTCAAGGTGAGGTTCCAGATCACGAACGTCAAGTGTCCGACCGTGGCGCAGCAGGACTTGCTGGAGGCAGGCTTCGTTCCCAAGTATGGGGTGCACCCAAGCGTGCTGGGGGTGCCGAGCGGGCGGATCTTACCATTGGCGCAGCAGGGCCGCATCTGGTACATGAAGATGGAGCACGTGGTCGCAGCCAGCGAGCCAGCAGTCGCGATCGCCCCACTACGACAGCCAGTGGTAGCTCAACCCATTCCAGTCTACGGGGATGGACGGCAGCCAGGACCAGCAGGAGGCGAGGTAGCAGGAGTTAGCCCAGGAGGAGCAGCGAGCTCATCAGCTGCAGGAGCGGCACCCGCCGCAGCGGCAGCAGCAGCAGGACCTAGATACGCTCAACCTGCTGACCACCTGGTGATCGTTCGCAAGCAGAGGGGCGCCGTCAAACTGTGCGACAGCCCCGAGAGCAGGGTTGTGAGAGCGAAGGGTGTTCCAGTGATGCCACCGCTTGCCAAACGTCAATTACATTGACTTACCCACTGGCCGTATCGTTCGTGGTGCAAGGCTTGCGTAGTCGGAGGAGGGCGCGAACAAGTTCATCCCAGGACGGACCTGGAGAGACGCGCCCCAGGTCTGCATTGACTACTCGTTCCCAGGAATGAAGGGCACCGATGATGTGATGACGCTGCTGGTCTGCCTGGACTTCGATTCGTCGGCTATCGAGAGTGCGAATGTCATGGAGAAGGGCGCGGTGGATTACGGCGTCAAGGTCCTGGTGCAGTCGTTGCAGTACTGGGGCCGCAAGCGCGTGGTGGTGTCGAGTGACCAGGAGAACGCGATCACGGCGCTTGCGAGAGCGGCAGCAGCCGCACGAGACGAGGAGACGGTGTTGCAGGTCGGCCCGGGGCTCGATTCCAGGCCCAAGGGTCCGGTCGAGGCGGCTGGAGGCAGAGTCCATCAGCTCATTCGCACACTCGTGTATACCGTCAATGCACACTACAAAGTGGAGCTGAAGCCAAGCGAGCCGATCAGCAGTTGGTTGGCGAGGCACGCAGGCTGGATCCTCACGAGGTTTACCGTGAGAGAAGATGGGCTGACACCTTATCGTCGGCTCAAAGGACGAGATTACCACGGTCAGATCGCAGAGTCCGCGGAGACCGTGATGCACAAGTTACCCCCAGGGACCGCTGGGAAGATGGAAGCCAGATGGGACAAGGGCATCTGGCTCGGCAAGGCGAACGTCAGCGATGAGCACATGATCGGCACGCCACGGGGGCGGGTCTTTGCGAGATCGATCGCCAAGAGGCCCGACGAGAAGCGGTGGAACAAAAACCTCTTCAGCCAGATCATCTGCACGCCCTTCTGGCGCAGGAGGCCGCGAACAGGCCGAGGTGCCTGGCCGAGGGGATTCTCAACCGGTTGGGTCGGGCACCTGGCTGCCCAGCTTGTGACAAGACGGGCCAGTACCACACTGCGGAGTTCAGAGCCAGACTGGAGGCTTTGCTGGGCGCGGAGGACAGTGCGAAGGGCCTGGCAGCACATGCTGGAGCGCGAGCTGAGGCACCGCCACCAGCTCGAGAAGCGGCCAGGAAGCAGTCGAAGCGTGCACCAGCAGAGGAGCCAGGGCGCAGAGCAGCAGCAGCCGCGGCAGCAGCCGCAGCAGCATCTCCCAGCGAGGCAGACGACGTGGCGATGGATCACGAGGAGGAAAGCGTTGAGATGATGGTGCGGGATCCCGTGGAGATTACCGAAGGAGTGAAGCGACAGGTCCCAGAGAAGGAGGATCACCCAGAGATCAAGAAGGCGCGCGCTGTCGGCGGGCTGGCCGTCAACGTCATGCCAATGGAACGGTGCGTGGTGGGCCTTGGCGAGTACGCCGCGGAACCGTGCGAGGAGAAGGGCCTTTCCAACGTCGAGGGGGCGCTCTCTGGACAGCTGCTTCCAGCAGGGAAGGTTCGAGAAGGAAGAGCTCGAGACCGTGCCGAGATGAAAGGGCATGGAGCGCTCAAGCGGGTTCACTTCACGGAGGCGAAAGGCATGCGCGTTAGGGGCAAGTGGTTGCAGGACTGGAAGGTGGGCACCGACGCTGCGCGGTGCAGGTTCGTGGCCATGCAGGTTGCCTACCAGGCGCGCGATGACGCATTCGCTTGGGCGCCCCCGCTGAAGTTCGCCAGGCTGGCGCTGGTGCTGGCAGTGACGTTCAGGAACCACATGGAAGTCTACCTGTTAGGGCTCTGGGACATCAGCAACGTGTTCTTCCACGCTGAGATGGACAAGGACGCGTGCGCGGTGCCGCCCTCAGGTGAGGAGGAGCCAAATGTAGTCTGGCAGTTGCGGAAGGCGCTGTATGGGACCAGGAGAGCGAGCAAGCTGTTCCAGCACAAGGTCATTGGGACGTTGATCGATCAGGGCTTCATGGCCATCCACATCGTGGTGCACGGAGACGACTTCATGGCCGTGGGGGCGCTTGTGGACCTGAGGTGGCCCAACGAGATCCTGGAGGCGAAGTTCGAGGTGAAGCGGTCGCCGTTCGTGGGGCCCGCAGGAGATGGAGGTGAAGCGACGTCAAGCTATTTCCTGAAGAGGACGGTTAGCTGGACAGAGAAGGGTTTCCACTGGGAGAGCGACGCGAAGCACGCGAGGACAGTGGTCGAGGCCTACGGGAAGCTGCTCGCGGCGAGGGAGATCTCGCCGGCTTCCAAGAGCATCGGGAAGGAGGTGCCAACGGCGTTGGGCAAGCTGGGATACGCGGAGAAGAAGGTGTTCCAGTCGGCGACGCCGACGGCACTGTACTTGGCAGCAGACAGAATTGACATCCAGTTCGCGACGAGCTGGATCATGCGCGGGATGCAGGAGCCACTGGTGCTCCACGAGCTGGAGCTGAAGCGGTTGGCTGCCTACTTAGCGACGCACCCGCAGATGATGTGGATTTTTGAGTATCAGGAGTTACCGAGCGAGGTGCCCATCGTGACGGACTCGGACTGGGCTGGAGATGAAGAGACGCGCAGGGGCCGTGGTGGAGGTTTCGAATACGTCGGAAAAAGGCGTGCATCGACAGTTGGGCTGGTCAGCAGGCGACACGTGCGCTGAGCAGTGGAGAAGCTGAGTATGTGGAGATGACTAACGGCGCTGCGCGGGGGATCTCCGCGAAGAACCTGTTCGAGGAGATGGGCATCAAGATGACGGTGAAGGTGTGTGGTGACAGCACCGCCGCCATCGGGATATGTTCGAGGCTGGGTGTCGGACGAATCAGACACCCGGACGTGAAGTACCTGTGGTCGCAGGAGAAAGTGGCCGAGAAAGCAGTGCGCACCGCGAAGGTGCCGACGGCAGATAACGTAGTGGATTTGATGACGAAGGCTCTGGATCCCGCTCGTCATCACGAGCTTGTGAAGAGACTGCCCGTGACCGTGGAGATCGCGAGGGGCTTGCCAAGGCATGGGCGCAGTGAGGTTGCAGCAGCTGTGCGTTTCACAGTGATTGCTATGCTTCGTTGATTTCCACGTGCAGAGCGTAGCCCAGAATCGTGCAGCTCGAAGCCGTGAAGAGAACAGGGTTTCTATTTGCTGAAACCGACCTGTTAGGGCCAGACGTCGGGACGCCGACCATAGCCCGCAGCAGGTTGCTAATCGAGATATAATACCGTGTGGGCTGGAGCGCGATTTCGCGTTTCCATCAGTTGTCGGTTTGCGACATCTGCCGAGGAGGAGTGCGTGTCATATCGCCTCCTAGCCTGATAATGTTTCAGAAGGATATGATTTGCTGCGCTCCGCAGCCCCTCGCGAGGCTCGAGAAAAAGGTTTCGGTTGTGAGATCAGATACCTCCCGCCTCCCGCAGATACTGCCGCCCATTTTGGGCTCTCGGACTCTCGGGCCATCTTGGGGCCATCTTGAGCGTCATGGAGCGATCGTTCAGCGATTCGGGGCCTCTTGAACCATTTCGGGGGCCTCTCGGAGTTCTTTTGGCTCGTCTTGGAGCCCTACGGGGCCCCCAAATGTCATGCAACAAGCCGCGGGGAACTGCGACAAGCCCCGGGGAACCTGTGACTTTGGGGTTCGGGCCCTTCAGAGACTCCTCAAGAGTGGGGATTGAATCTTAGAGCATGAGGGAAAGGACTTGATGTCACGCCCATTCCGTACCCAGAGGCATGGTGACGGATGATGAGGGCGGCGGTGATGTCCATATGGCAAGTCTCAATTGGTGCTTTACTGGCTTCCACACTCTGGATTTCTGATGTAAGGGTTCCTTACCTGATGCCCTCGCCGTAACCCCCTGGCGGCAAGGTTCCGTTAACGCCTTCGCTGTTCGTGCGGGCTGGCGGAGGCGGAGGGCAGGGATAGATAGAGAGAGAGAGAGAGAATAAGGGGTGGAGGAGGAGAGGGACAAGGTCAAATGGTCGAGGAGGGCGGAGCAGCGAGGGAATGATGGAGAGAGGTGCTGGAGTATGCGTCGTAACAGGAACAGAGAAGGGAGAGGGCGAGGGAATATGGAAAGCGGAGGTGCGCATGACGAGAGGCAGCGAGGAAAAGAGGGACGGATGGGGAACAGTTCCTTAGATCTGGACGGAGGATGCATACAATTCTTGGGACACTTCTAAACGCCCCCGCAACCCACCGAAACATTTCTTCTCCTCCATGTTCCTCGTTCTTTCTCCTTTTTCCCCTCCTCTTCCCGCCGGGTGATTCTAGAGCCTTAGCGCCGTAGGCGTTAGAATCGCCTGCGTCCGAGTCCGTGCCTCCTCATCCTTCTCCTCCGTCCCTGTTCTCCTCCACTCTCCTATTTTTCCTGAACCTTCTCCTCTTCACTTCTCCTCCTCCTGCCCTTCTCCTCCACGTCCTCCATTATTTCATCTGTTCTCTCTGACACTCTCACTTTCGCTCTCACACACTCTCTCTCTCTCACTCTCTTTTTTTCTCTATGATGGAGAGCTGGCGAAGCGACTGGCGGCCGCGCGAGGTCCCAGACCTGCCGCTTGTGCGGTCCCGGGCTTACCATCTCGGAGCCGCCCGATTCGGAGGGCCTTGTGGCTCTCGCGATGACGCGCGTGTGCTGAAGAAGGAGTGGAGCAGGAGAGGATGACTATGATCATGATGCTGAGGAAGCTGACGAGGATGATGACAATGGTTATATGACGACGACCATGACGACGATGATGCTGCTGATGATGATGATGATGCTGATGATGGTGATGATGATGTCGCTGAATATGATGATGATGATGATGATGATGATGATGATGATGATGATGATGATGATGATGATGATGATGATGGTGATGGTCATGGTGATGTTGATGATGACGATGGTGATGATGGTGATGATGATCATGGTGATGCTGCCGATGCTGCTGATGGTGATGGCGATGCTGACTGATGGTGGTGGTAGTGATGATGATGGTGATGCCGATGCTGCTGCTGATGATGGTGATGATGATGATGATGATGGCGGTGCTGCTGCTGCTGCTGATGGTGGTGGTGATGCTGATGAAGCGATGATGTAGGCAAGAAGGTGGAGGGGGAGGAGGGCGATCATGTGTAGGAGGACAGGATGTGGATGAGGATGATAATGAGGCTAAGAATGATGATAAGGACGATGATGCCGATGATGAGGATGATGATGATGATGATGATGACGCGAATGATGATTATGATGGTGATGACAAGGATGACGTTGATGATGGTGATGATGCTGATGGTGATGTTGACGACGGTGATGATGATCATGAGGATGATGTTGATGCTGATGCTGATGCTGATGCTGATGCTGATGCTGATGCTGATGATGCTGATGCTGATGATGATAATGATGGTGATGCTGATGCTGCTGCTGCTGCTGCTGCTGATGATGATGATGATGATGATGATGATGCTGTTGACTAGGAGGATGAGGAGGAGGAGAAGGAGGAGGAGGAGGCAGATGAGGATGTGTGATTCTGGCTATAGCGAGTTCGCGGCGTGTTCGGCGGGCGCGCGGGATTCTCTCGCCACGAACGGGCGGCGAAGTGGAGTGGCACACGCAGCCAACGATTCGGCAGTGGAGTTCAGGGGTCAGGGGAGGAGGAGGAGGAGGAGGAGGAGGAAGGGGGGCGGGGAAGGAAGAGATGGGCGGGAGAGGGGCGGGGGGCGGCAGAACGAAGAGGAGAATGAGAACAGATGACGAAGATGACGGTGACGACGATAAGGACGACGACGACGACGTCGACGATGATGATGATGAGGAGGATGCAGTTGATGATGATGATGATGGCGATATTGACCTTGATGCTGATGGCGTTGCTGATAGTAAGGACGACGATGATGATGACTATGATGATGCTGCTGATGACGATGATGATGATACTGAGCCTAACGCTGCTGACGATGATCATGCCGTTGTTGATGCTGGTATGCTGCTGATGATGATGCTGATGATGATGACGACGACGATGACGATGATGATGATGACGATGATGATGCTGATGATTATGCTGATGCTGATGCTGATGATGGTGATGGTGATGATCATGATGGTGATGATGATGATGATGATGATGATGATGATGATGATGATGGTGGTGGTGATGATGATGATGATGATGATGATGATGGTGGTGGTGGTGGTGGTGATGCCGAGAACATCAATACATGACGGGGCGCTCGCGTACATGTACCGGGGTCCTTGCGAATTTGTTTCGCAAATATTATTGGGAATTTTTTTCAAATTAAAATCCGACCCTCCATCCCTCCAAACTCCGCCGCAGGCGCCCAGAATAATAATAATTTCAAATTGCGGCAGCACCCCCAAATTGGAAGCATACCCCCTGGATTTGCCCAGGACCCCCCAGGAATCTTAGGGGCCCTGACGGATTCTGATGGATTCTGCTGGTTTCTGGAGCCCCGTCCTGGAGGATTCCTCCCTGGACGCCCTCTTGGAGCTGTGTCGGGCCGTTTTGGGAAGCCGCTTGGGCCGTCTCGAGGCCATCTTAGGTCGTCTTGCGTCTTGGGCCGTCTTGAATCGGTCTTGGGCAATCTTGGCGGCCCTGGTGGCCTGTTTGGGCCAGGTGGCAGTCATCTTGGATTCCTCGGAGGGCGCCAGGGGCATGTCTCGGCGCCGCATTTTGGACACCATCTGGTATCTGGAATCCAGATGGCTGCCACCTTGGATTCCTCGGAGGGTGCCGGGCCATGTCTCGGACATGGCCCGGCACCGTTCGGCGCCGCATGTCCGTACATGTTTCGGTGGCAGTCATCTTGGATTCTTCGGAGGGCGCCGTATGGAAAACGTATTGAGTGGCAATGTATCGCCTCATGTTGAGGCCCAGAATGCAAGTGAAACAGTTGTTTTTTTCTCAACCAGTTTTCTGGTGACCCCCCCCTTCGTGGGTCACCTGGTGTGCTTGCGCCGTATCGAAAACGCATTGAGTGGCAGTGCGCCGCCTCATGTTGAGGCCCAAAATGCAAGTGAAACAATGGGTTTCTGTCAACCAGTTTTCTGATGACCCACCCCTTCGTGGGTCACCAGGTGTGCTTGCGCCGTTTGGCAAACGTATTGAGTGGCAATGCATCGCCTCATGTTGCGGCCCAGAGTGCAAGTGAAACAACTGTTTTTCCCAACCATCCTGTGGTGTTGGGTCCTCGTTTTGAAGAGACGGTGCCCCGCGTCTCCTTCCTCCTCTCCTCCTCCGCCTCCTCTCCCCTCCTATCATCCTCATCGTCATCATCGTCATCATCATCATCATTATCATCATCATTATCAGCATCATCGTCATCAGCATCAACATCATGGCCGCCATCATAACCATCATCGTCATCATCACCATCATCGTCGTCATCACCATCATCGTTGTCCTCGTCGCCATCATCGCGCGCTTCGTGGCCCCATACGGAGCTCCACCGAAGGTCCTAGTGGGTGTGCCCGCATGCGTCCCGCACACCCATTTTGGCACACCCCTCACACGTTTCGTGGCCCCATAGGGAGCTCCACCTAAGGTCCAAGTGGCGCAGCTCGCATGGCGCCACCGCCGCATTTTGGCACACCCCTCACACGCTTCGTGGCCCCATAGGGAGCTCCATCTACGGTCCAAGTGGCGCAGCTCGCATGGCGCCACCGCCCCATTTGGCACACCCCTCACAGATTTCGTGGCCCCTCAGGGAGCTCCTTTTGGCACACTCCTCACACGTTTCGTGGCCCCATAGGGAGCTCCACCTAAGGTCTACGTGGCGCAGCTCGCATGGCGCCACCCCCCCTTTTTGGCACACCCCTCACACGCTTCGTGGCCCCATAGGGAGCTCTATTTACGCTCCAAGTGGCGCAGCTCGCATGGCGCCACCGCCCCATTTTGGCACACCCCTCACAGATTTCGTGGCCCCTCAGGGAGCTCCACCTGAGGTTCAAGTGGCGCAGCTCGCATGGCGCCACCGCCCCTTTTTGGCACACCCCTCACACGTTTCGTGGCCCCGAAGGCGACGGGG